GGGTTAAGTTTCAAATATACTGGCTCGAACTTCCTAACCAACCAGGCGTTCTGACATTTGTGTGATTAGCTTCCGGAATTTCATCGCATAGCGTAATTTTTGGTCGTCGGGGAGGCCTCTGTTTTCAATTGTCAAGAAATCCCAAATTAGACCCTTTTGGAAGAGCTATTCTTCTCTTGATCTCCAGTCCGAACTGCCAACAGTGTGATAAGTTTTCTTATTTTCCATCCCAGCTAGACCAACTTTATTTTCGGGCGGGAAAATGCTTCGACCTCGGCCCCGGTGTTGAAGTCAATGATGTAAATCTCAAACGCTGAGAACGATGAGCTAAAAGTCGTTCGTAAACGTCAACCTTCATATCTGTACTAATCTCGCGTGGTTTCCAAATTTAGACGTGTTTTCGGTAAAGGCTAATACCAAGCTAAATGGCCCAAACGGTAAGACCTGTTTCTTGTGGATTTCGCAAAGTACTAATAGCTATATCGAGATTCTAGTCTTAGGCAAATATTTATTATACCAAAATGCGCTTACCGATATACCGTCGTGCCCAGGGGTATCATTCTTTCTGTGCTTACCTCGACATGCTCGAGGCTGGTCTTGGTTTAGACATTTAATACTCCAGAACATATGTATGTATGTATTTGTGAAAATGTTGGTATGGGTTCTGGGAAGTCGCTGTGCTGAAGTGGTAAGCAGTGCGCGCTTCTACCCCGCAGCACCTGGGTTCAAACCCTGGTCAAAGCAACATCGCAAAAAAATATAGAAAAAAAAGTTTTTTCTTAACTGCGGTTGCACCTCGGCAGGCAATGGCAAACCTCCGAGTGTATTTCTGCCATGAAAAACAGCTTCTCATAAAAATATAATCGCCGTTCGGAGTCGCCGTAAAACTGTAGGTCCCTCCGCTTTGTGTGACAACATCAAGGCGCATGCCACAAATCGGAGGAGAAGCTCGGCTAAACACTAACATATGTGTAAGCGCCAATCTAGTATTATTATTATTATGGGTTCTTCCATATCTTTCCGAATGAATTTCGGACGTCTTTGTCAACATGGAAAGTAGAAAATCGATTTCTGATTTTTTTTCTGGAGGCGGAGCATGTTGGTATAAACCGTCATTGGAGGTTTCCTTGAAGCTGCGCCTATTATGAGGGTTTGTGATAAACTCACACAAAAAAATGCAATTTTACCCTATAGGCTTCCAAACGCATATGCACTCGCCTGTATATATGTTCATAAAATACTTATGTTCTTATTTTCCATATAGATAACCCCATTCACTACAGCAGTACCACACATTTATTTTCAATTCATAATTTTTGATTGATTGTCTTTTATAAAACATTCCTACAGCCAAACACAAACCATTCAAAGAAAAAAAATGGTGAATGAACTAAAATAAATAATTAGTAAACGAAAATTTTGATGTGTAAATATCCATTCACTGAAAATTATTTAGTTCAGTGCGATGCCAATTGTATTATTGTATGCATATTTGAAACCCGAACAAAAATGCATTTTATCCAAATTATTTAATTATGGGGTCAAGTACTGTTCAACGTAATTAAAATGAGTACAAATATTTCGTCTGCCCATGAACTGTTGTTTCTAAGATGGCTGTGAACATTGGTTGCCACAAGTTGTACCAATGTATGTTGTTTTGTTTTTTGTATCATTATTTACAACTAATAGATTTGCACCAAATAAAACATATTTCGTGTATTGCGTTTAATGATGCATTTTGTATGGCTATTAAATTTAGGTATACCAATTTCTCAACAACTTATCGAAGACAAAGAAGTACGTACATACGTGCAAAGAAGTATGTGCATAAGTATGTATGTATGTATGTATGTATGTGCTCTTTGGCTAATACGCTGACTAACCACTCAAACAAAGCTGAAAGAAGACTAAATTATGTAATTTTAATTTTTAAAGAGGCGAAGGCATTTAAATAGTGAAATGCTAAAGGTTTCAAACCCACGGGGCTTATTGTGAAGCCCTTAGGCCTTATTTATATCAGAGAAAATATGGGGGATTTTATGGAACACAGTGTTGATTCTATAAATAAGCCGCTTACAGCGTAGCGTTGGATCGCTGTATGCTATCGTGAAGTATCCCTGTTAAGGAGCACGAGGTGGGAGGAATGCTTAATGCCCACCACGAGGCGCAATTACAAGCCGTTGTCTTTCTTGGAGTAATATGGCCTTCTTATAGATGCTATTTTTTGAAGTGAAACTTCTTTAGCGGCGGTTGCTTGGTTGGTAGTAAATTGGCAAATTCAACCGAAATTGCACACGGAAATAGTGCAACGAGAATTGTTGGGACGGAAACAAGTCCTTCTTGAATGTTTGTTATTAATTTTACAAATACTTGCTAATAAAAGATTAAAGAATAAAACTTAGAAAAAGACCACCACAAGAATGAAAGTAAAGGTGAGTTCGTACTTAGATAAAGAAAAAGATAAAGGCAAAGGCAAAGGTAAAAATAAAAACAAAAACCAAATTGCGTAAAGATAAAGGCAAAAATACCAAGGTAAATTTAAACGATTTATTTACATAAGGGCAAAGGTGAAGGGGAATGTGCAGATGAAGAAAATGATAAACATAAAAGTAAAAACAAAGATAAATATAAAGAAAAAGATGACGATGAGGATACTGATAAAAGTAAAGACGATTATAGAGGAAGAAAGATTAAAATAAAGGGAATTATAGAGAAAAGGATATAGATATAGAAACAGAGACTCAATCTGGGAACTAGTTTGGGATTTTAGAGATTTTCAGAATTCTCGGGACTTATCGATCTAATAATCCATATTTTTATTGGTTTTGTTATCGGTTGTTTATCGATTTTATTATCGATTATTTATCATTTTGTTATCGATTATTTATCGATTTTGTTATCGCTTATTTATTGATTTTGTTATCGATTATTTATAAGTTTTGTTATCGATTTTTTATCGATATTTTTATCACTTTTCGATCGATTGTTACCGATATTTTTATATGAATTTTTATCGATTTTCTAATCGATTTTTGTTATCGATTATTTATCCATTTTGTTATCGATATTTTTATCGATTTTGTTATCAATATTTTCATCGATTTTCTAATCGATTTTTCTACCAATACTATTATCGATATTTCCGATTATCGATCCGGAATGGATTCTGTCTGAAATAACCAACGACTCTGTTATATGCACCAAAGGTCTTGATTGTGTTGGTGAGCCCAGTGCAAAATTGTCAATCCGCAGTTACTGGATTCGTGATGCTACCCGCTGTTCGGAGGATAACCTTGTTTTTACAGAAAGATTGAAGAGTTATAGGTTAAGATACGTCTTTACGTACCTTAATTTGGGCTATGGGAGCATTTCCATATTTTGAACTTCTCCAAGTGCAAACCATAATATTTCTCTACATGAAAACAGGTCGTATTTTCAGTTATGGCGCGCCTTAACAAACCTGCAAATATATTTCTGCTATAAAAAACTTCTCATAAAACCCATTTAACGCTAGGAGTTACCCTACCAATTGAGAAACAACACGAAGATCCCACCTCAAGTTAGAATAGAAGCTGGGTTAAAGCCTTTATGTTAGTAGAAAGTTAACTCACTTTCCCGAGGAAACTAAAATTAAAATGTTCAGTAGAAATATTCAAAGTCATTTGCCGAACGAGAATGCCTCGCACTGTGAGAATGGCCCTTGGGATAAGGGAGCATCAAATTTCTTGTAAATTGTTTTTTTATATTTATGCATAAAGTAAACAAAGGCGAACATATTTTCAG